ACTCTGATGCTATCTGATGTTGCTTGTGGCAGCTGTACATTTATTAGTGAAAAATAATAATAGTACACTGTAAATAATGGACACTGTACTAATGGCACTGGCTGAGTGACAGTGGTGGTCAAAAGGTTAAGGAGTGTGTTTAAATATGCTGATTGTACTCAGTGTGGTTTTTCTCTAATCTTCCTGGTCCAAAAAAGTGTCCAGGAAGAGCAGAACCAGCTAGATACTGTGCCTGTAGTTACAAATACAGGCACAGGACTGCTTCTTCATTTGCTGCAGGAGATCAGTAGGGTCCCAGGCAAGAATCATTGGCCGGTTACCCACTGATGAACTGCTCCTGCAGCAAATGGCAGGGGGGTGAGCGGAGGGGGACATGTACAAGCACGTGAAAACCCTGAAGTAGGCCTAGAGCAGCCACTCATCTGCAGTACATTACGGGTGGGTGGTCCATAAGTGGATAATGTAAGTGGCTGAAGATATTGAGGGCCAGCATTTCTGCCATTTTTGGACAGGTCAATTAACACCGTCTCTGTGTTTCCTTTGTGACAGGTATCTTTTGATTCACTTTTTATGGCTGGTATATTGTATATGTTCTATTACCATTTGGTGATTTAAAGAGACCACGCAGACAGTTCATCTGACCTCACTGCATGGAGCATAAGATGAAGCAGCGCCCACCCACACAATATGTTACATACACTATATTGCCAAAAGTGTTGGGACACCCCTCCAAATCATCAGAATCAGGTGCCTGGCACATGCGCACTTTGCTGGCTGTGCTGCTGGTTGTGATGCTGTGATTGGCCCAAAGCTATCACATGGTACCTGGGCCAATCACAGAACCTTGTACCATGTGATTTGCTGTAGGCACTCACAGCATGTCAACAGAATGGAAGCCCATACATAAGAGTTCAGACAATAGGTGTTACAGTTATCAGTTAGTTATCACAGTGTAAAAAAAAATTCCCTGATAACCCCCCAGAGTAGTACAGTGTCAGTGTAGTGACACATAACTACTCTAATGAAAGTGTGAACAAAAAAATTGTAAAAAAACAAAGATGTTAAAAAGGGAATTGAATAAAAATAATTTACTTTTTATTTTTCATATTGTCACCAGCCACTATCCCTGATCACCGCCACACCAGTTGTATGATGATGCTGTACAGCACTGGTGATAGTATGTAAAAAAGAATTTAAACATTTTTTTTTTTTATTTAATCTCTTAATTTTGCAAAAAAAATGTGACCAAACAACTCGCCATGTCTCTTACTAAGCACCTTGGTCTGTCTACTTTGCAAAAATGGGTCATTTTGTGTGTGGGGGGGGGGGTAAATACCGTGTCCTGGCAGTTTAGGGCCTCCAGATATGATTTTTTACGTCAGTGCAACAGGATTGATCAGTTTTCAAATATACTGTATATACCATAGTGTGTTGACTTTATAACTTTCACAAAGACTAAATAATATACACTAATGTGGGTTATCTTTTACCAAAGAGGTGTAGCAGAATACATTTTGGCCTAAATATATGATGAAAGATTATTTATTTGCAAAATGTTATAATAGAAACTAAGAAAAATGTGAGTTTTTTTTCCAAACTTTTCTGTATGCGGTGATTAAATATCACCAGAAGAAAGCTCTGTGTGAAAAAATTATAGAAATTTCATCTGGGTACAGTGTTGCATAACCAAGCAATTGCCAGTTAAAGTATGCGCTGAATAGCAAAAAAATGCCCTGGTCATGAAGAGGGTAAAACCCTCCGGAGGTCTAGTGGTTAAAATAATTTTGACCTTTAACTATTTCACACTCCTTGATACAGTGTAAAGATTTATGGTGTGAGAGGAGAGTAATTGTGTAGGAAGTCCAAAAGCCTGTTATGATATATTCTGTGTAACGAATGTGGTTTATTGTCCTGACTTTTTCAGGCAGTTACATGCCTCGGATGAAAAACACAGTTTGATAACGCCAAGCAACAAGGTTATATGCAAGGACGATCAGGATGCCATTGTCAAAGGTATATACAGTAATACTCCACTATAACTGCAATCTAAATGTAAAATGTATCTGACATGGGATATATATTCTTTGTGTATAACCAATAAATGGAAAGCACTATTAAAGCTCAAGCCCAGCCAAAACTTGACTTGACACTAGAGTGTGGAAGAGCTACAAGTTCTGTAAGGTTAATACTGCTGTCTGTATTCCCAATTGGATTTCTTGTTACTTCTTGTCTTACATAGTTAGTCTGGTTGAAAAAAGACAAAAGTCCATCCAGTCTTCTTCTAACAGGGACACAGGTAGCAATTTAAAACCTTTTCTTGGTGAGATGGAGAAGAGTTAGAATCTCGGTCAGGATTGTCTGTGACCTCATAAGGGATATTCCCTTACTTCCTTGTCCAGGTGATGGGTGAACAGGAAGTAAAATTTCCTCCTTGGGGACACAGAATTTAAAATAAGAGAGCAAGTCTATCTTTTTAACCATCAATCAATTATATGCATTCAAAAAAACTGTTTTTTTTTATTTAAATATTTATTGATTTTTCATGTTATTACAAATTTCCATCAAAAAATACACTTAAATATCCAAGACAATTCTACATTTCCCTCTCTAAAAACTATTTCCTCCCCCAACCCTCCCTCCTCCCCACCATTTCCCTAACCCCACCCCCCTCCTTCCCCTCTGCATTCTCACCCACTCTTTTCTATTAAAGCAAGAGGACATTATCTATCATCCTAAATTATAACTTCCTATATTTCACTTTCAATCCAGATTTTTTCCCATTTTTTCCCATTTCGCATAGTATAGCCCCATCTTGTCTTCCTGCATATAAAGATAAAGTTTTTCCATCCTACTAATCTGATTCACTTTATTACCTCATCTTCCTCCTTCTGCACCTTTGTTTTCCACCAAAACTTGGGTATCAAGCCTTTTGCAGCATTTAGATAGTACCATATACCTGATTCTTTATATTTATTTACCGATAGCTCAATATTATGTAAGAGACAAATCGTTGGGTCCAACCCTATGTCATTCCCAGTTATTATCTCAATCAATTTAACTATTGACTTCCAGAAAGCTTGAATTTTCGGACATTCCCACCATATGTGAAACACTGTGCCAATCCCTCCACACCCCCTCCAACACCACTTTGAATTCTCCACACTCATCCTGTGCTCAACATTCGGTGTGATGTGCCACCTTGTCAAACACTTATAATTTATTTCCACCTCTCTCATACTTACATTCTCGTGAGTCAATCTATATATCTTTTTCTGTTTATCCTCATCTAAAACCACCCCCATATCTTTCCCATTTTGTTATATAAATTAGCTTTGTGTTCATGTCTAATTCAGTGAGTATTCTATATACTTTGGCAATACCCTGCTTCCCATCCCCTCGTGACTCCAACATCCTTTCAGAATTGGAAGAAATTCCAATCCTTTTTTAATCTCAAGGGTTTTGGGAGACATTTTAATTGATGATATCTCCACTCATCTATCCTAATGAAGATCTCTCCCTTTTTCTCTTCCAAGTCTTTAAGTGGTCTCAATTCCCCCTCCACCAATATATCTCTCAATTGACCATCTTCCTTTTTAAACCATTTCCCTGTTATCTCTTCTCTGCCTGGAGGGAAAAAAACTCAGTGTTTCCTAGTGGCATTAATATAGAATTGAAGTCCCACTTCATATTTTTGTGCAAATTATCCCATACCCTTAAAACATTTAAAGTGTAAAGACTTGTGCTACCTTATTATTGACAACAGGGGTTCCAATGACAGATCGTACAACAAAGGGGACAATGGGCAGCCCTGTCTTGTTCCATTTGACATCCCAATGGGTTCCGACTTCTCCCCATTTACCATAAAAATTGCGGTAGGCTCCCTATATAATTTTCCTACCCACTCTCGCATTCTCACTCCGATCCCCAGGACTTCCAGAGTATCCATCATAAAGCCCCAGTCAACTCTATCAAATGCCTTCTCGGCATCGATTGATAGCACTACCACCGGAGCTTTTCCTTTTCTGCTTTTCTGAATAAGCATCAGAGTTCTCAACCCGTTATCTCTACCCTCCCTCCCTGGGACAAAGCCCACCTGGTCCCCATGTATCCATTCAGGCATTAGATCTTTCAACCTATTTGCTAAAACCTTTGCGTACAGCTTAGTATCAGTGTTCAGTAATGAAATTGGTCGATAGCTAGAGCACTGAGAAGCATCATGTCAGGGCTCCAGGGTTTGACCAGAGGTATGTGAACTGACGCAGGGAAACGCAGGCTTCAGATATGTTATAAACAATATAATTTATTAATACTAACAATACATAAACGCAGTGCAATACTAAAACATAACACAGTGCAAACAAACCAAACCACCCACAGATAACGTAGGAACAGAAGGAGCAGGCAGAGAGTAGTCAGGTCAGTGAGCCGGGGTAACAGCAACTAAGGGGCAGGTAGGTACAGGGGGTCAGGCAGAGATATTGGTTGGGGTCACAAGCCAGGGAGATCAAAAACAGGAGGAAGTCAGCAGAGGTCTGGATCAGGCAGGGTCGGCAACGAATCAGATAGGAACAGGAATGCAGGTAACAAGATACAGGGGCCCATACAAAAACACACACCAAGGCACAGACTGCAGGTCTGGCGCCATTCCTTAAATACTACCTGCGAATCAGCCTCAGGTGTTTTGGCTGACTGCAGGGTTGAGTCTGATTGCTGAGAGCACCCGCTGGCCAGCCCATGGTACTGCAGCAGCCACAAGGCAGGTGAGTCCCCCATCATTACTGGCAAGTCCATTCCTGACAGTACAACACCGCCCTCAAGGAGCGGCCTCAGGACGCCTCAAAACAGTCCTAGCTGGGCAAAATGTTCCAACCGCCCGGGTCTGGTAACTGGCGGGATATCAAAGACTGGCACATCGGGCTGGGCTCCGGGCAGAGAGCATACATCGGGCTGGGCTCCCGGGCAGAGGCACATCGGGCTGGGCTCCGGGCAAGAGGCGCAGGGCCCCCAGGTCGGGGCGGCTGGCAGCAGGGCCCCCAGGCGGGGCGGCAGCGCAGGGGCCCCCAGGCGGGGCGGCAGGCGCAGGGGCCCCCAGGCGGAATAAGCGGCGGACCCTCAGGTGAGGGCGGCAGGCATGGGGACCCCGGTCCGGAGCGGCAGGCACTGGGGGCCCGGGCGGAGCGGCAGGCACCGGGCCCCGGGGCGGCGCGGCGGGCCGCCCGGGGCGGGGGGCGGCGGGCGGGCCCCCGGGAGCGGCGGCGGCGGGCGCCGGGCCCCCCGGGCGGAGCGGCGGGCGCCGGGCCCCCAGGAGGGGCGGGCGGGCACCGGGTCATCAGGCATGAACAGCGGGCATCGGGTCACCATGCAGGAAATCAGGTCATTTGGCTCGCCAGCGGCACACCCGCGTCCTCATGGCAAAAAAACAAAGGCAGCGGGCACTGAGTCACAGGAAGGACAGTGGGTTACTGAGTCAAACTGGCATGACGCGGGGCACTGGGTCAGACATTGGCATCGCTGGAGGCTCGACAGCGGGCATCGGGTCACCAGGCTATCAGGTCATTTGGCTCGACAGCGGGCGCCGCGTCATCTGGCAAGGCAGTGGGCACCGAGTCACCAGGCACGACAGTGGCGCTCTGAGTCAATTGGCACCGACAGAGGGCACCGGGTCATCATGTACCGGATCGTCTGACTCGACAGCAGGCACTCGGGTCATCTGAGCGCTGAATCGTCTGGCATCGACAGTGGGCATCGGGTCACACCAGGCAAGGACAGCGGGCACTGGTCATCAGGCAATTGATCTGAGTCTTGGCTCGACCAGCGGGCCACCGGCGTCATCAGGCATTGGATCGTCTGACTCAACAGCGGACATCGGGTCACCCGGGCATGAATCGAGGCTCGGCATCGATAGGGTCACAGGCACATGAACAGCGGGCACCGGGTCATCTGGCATTGGATCGTCTGGCTCGACAGCGGGCATATCGGGTCATCCAGGCATGACAGCAGCACCGGGTTCATAGCATGACAGAGTAGCATCGGATCCTTCCAGGATCTGACAGCGGGGCCACCGGGTACATGGCATTGGATCGTTTCTGGCTCGACAGCTAAGCATCGGGTCACCAGGCATGACAGCAGGCACAGGGTCATCAGGTACCGGATAGTCTGGATCGACAGCGGGGCACCGGTTCAATCCTGGCATTGGATCGTCTGGCTCTCGACAAGAGCAGGCATCGGAGTGACACCAGGCATGACAGCGGGGCACTGGGTCATCAGGGCATACTGGATCGTCTGGCGGCATCGACAGCGGGCATCGGTTCATCAGTGGCGCGGATCGTCTGGCTCGACCAGAAAAAATGAGGCATCGGGTCACCAGGCATGACAGCGGGCATGGGTCATCAGACATTGGATCGTCTGGATCGACAGCGGGCACGGGTCATCTGGCGTTGGATCGTCTGTCTCGACAGTGGGCTCGGGGTCACAGCAGGCACTGGGTCATCAGGACATTAGGTCATCGACAGGGGCACTGGGTCATCAGGCATTGGATCGTTCTGGATCGACACAGATACGGGCATCGGGTCACCAGCATGACACCGCGGGCACTGGGTCATCAGGCATTGGATATCTATCGGGCTCGACAGCGGGCATCGGGTCACCAGGCATGACAGCAGGCACTGGGTACAATCAGGTACCGGATCTGTCTGGATCGACAGCGGGCACGGGGTCATCAGGCATTGGATCGTCTGGCTGGGTACAGACATCAGGCTGAAGTGCCGAGGCACCAGGGCTGAACCACGGAAAGGCAGGTTCTCAGAAGGCAGCCTCACGGTTTGGTAACTGGCAGGATGGTACTGGTTGGAAAGAATTTTCCTTTTTTTCTGGTTTTAACTACTGGAGCACTGCAAGTAAACGCAGGTCTGCAAACGAATGGAGCAGCTGAGGACAGAGAAGAGCTGGAAGATGGAACAGAGGAGGGAGCAGTTGTTACAGAGGACTTCTTTACCAGGGTTAAAGAAAGGATAGGTGCAGCGAGTTGGGAGCAGAGGACTGATATGTGGTAAAGTTTAGCAGAGTATACCTGGGCCGTCGCCGGGGGTTGCTGTCCGGGACGTAGGAAGAGTGCCTTGAGCGGAGGAATGACGTTGTAAGCTGACTGAGGCTGGGTGCAACAAGTGTCTGACTATGTCTGCAGTATGGTGTTTGAACAAAGCTCAGCTATACACATATGCCTGTCTGGTCAAAGACTGCACTGCGTTTATACAATCCCTTAATACAGGGTGAACATGCAGCAAATGCTCCAAGAAGCAATCCACATCATCCTCTATATTAACCATACCAGGGAAGACTCTACCTGGTTCTGCACTAAATGGTGGCAAAAAGTCATTCCTGCTTTCAGGGGTACCAGATGAAGCCAACTCTACACAAACCTGAATTAAAGGTTGCACCTCAGAGAACTCTGTGCCCTGATCTCTACTAGAACATGAGCTACGATCCGTTATAATACATTCTAGCAGTTGATCCCGGTCTATACCTCCCTCAGAGTCTGATAAGCATATTCTCTGTCATCATCAAAAAACCAGCAGCGACAAATACACAACCTCATCAAGATCCATCCTTCCCAGCAACAAGCCAAGATTGGCTTCCCTGTGCAGCCACTTCTGGTCAGGATTGGCCTTGGTGTAATGTCAGGGCTCCAGGGTATGACCAGAGGTATGTGAACTGACGCAGGAAACGCAGGGCTTCAGATATGTTATAAACAATATAATTTATTAATACTAACAATACATAAACGCAGTTGCAATACTTAAACATAAATCACAGTGCAAACGAACCAAACCACCCACAGATAACAATACATACAATGCAAGCGTCGTCAGGCAGGCTGGGTCAATAAACAATCGGGCAGGTAGGAACAGGAGGAGCAGGCAGAGAGTAGTCAGGTCACGAGCCGGGTACAGCAACTAACGGGCAGGTAGGTACAGGGGGTCAGGCAGAGAATGGTCGGGGTCACAAGCCAGGGGAATCAAACAGGAGAATCAGCAGAGGTCCGCTCAGGCAGGGTCGGCAACGAATCAGAAGCAACGAACAGGAATGCAGGTAACAAGATACAGGGGCCCATAGAAAAACACACACCAAGGCACAGACTGCAGGTCTGGCCCATCCCTTAAATACACCTGCGATCAGCCTCAGGTGTTTTGGCTGACTGCAGGGTTGAGTCTCTGATTGCTGAGAGCACCGCTGGCCAGCCTGGTACTGCAGCCCACAAGGCAGGTGAGTCCCACCATTACTGGCAAGTCCATTCCTGACACATCTTTTCCTTCCTTGTGGATTTTTTTTTTTTGTACTCTACTTGGACCTGTAAAGATTCTCTCCTCACCTCCATCCACACCTCCCAAGCATTCATATATTTCTTCTCAACTTAGGTAATAATAATTCACTATATTTTTATAATACTTCACGGTGTAACCGTCTGGTCCTGGACTTTTCCCGCCCCCTGTACTTTTTAGTGCTGCTTTTATTTCTTCCTGGGTAATTTCTGCATCAAGGAGTTCAATTGTGCTTCGCTTAATTTCGGTAGGCCCGCATTTTTTAAATATGTCTTCCTTTTTTCAATGTTCACCTCTTCAATGTCTTTTAAAGAAACTTGGGAACTGATGTTATACAACTTTTCTATAGTACTCTGTAAACACTTTAATAATCTCTTTAGTTGAATGGACCAACTCCCCTTGGGGCTTTTTATTTTATCTATATAATTCCTGTTTTTCTTTTTACTCAGGGCTCTCATTAAATATTTTCCTGGTCTATCTCCCCATCTATGTCTCTCACTTAATACTTTATTATTATACTCTTCTCCTCTTTCCATCAAAGTCTCTTGTTCTTCTTTCTTAATTATTACCTTCTGTCTTGTTTCTGTTGTTATTTTATTCTTATACTATATCTGTTCAGGTCAAGTATTTCTTTTAGAAGCCCACTAATTTTCGCCTTTTTTTTTTTTTCTTTTTTGCTCCAATCACAATCAAGATTCCTCTTATTATATACCTTATGGCTCTCCCCTCCCACACTGTAGCTATCGACACTTCCTGTCTCGTTCTCCTTAAAATATAGCTTAATCTCTTCCCCGTGAATCTTCTGAGCAGTATCCTTATCCAGGAGAAGTGCCTCATTTAACTTCCATCCTAAACCTCCTGTCCACGCCTTCCTCATCCCATTTTCATTATAAAACAGGTGCGTGGTCCGAGAGTGTCCTTGCTTCTATTTCTACTTTAACCAGAAATTCAATAAGTTGGTGATCTATTAATATATAATCCAATCTCGAGTATATCTCATGTGCATTTGAGAAGAAGGTATAGTCTCTATCATTCATATGCATAATTCTCCAGATGTCCACTAGTTGGTACTCATGGATCACCTTTTTCAAAATTCTCAAGGACTACCCCCCCATCCCTCTGCACAAAAGAGGTTGCATCCTTTTGTGGGTCCATACAGAAATTGAAATCTCCCGCTACTATCAAACGGCCTTTTTTAAAGTCCATCAGTTTTTTCAACACACCCTGCAAAAACATCTCCGGCTTCTTATTAGGACAACCATATATTGGCTAATGTACACTTGATTCCTTGTAGTTTACCTTTTAAAAAACAAGAATCTCCCCTCCAGATCTGTCTTTCTATCCTCCAGCTCGAACCTTATATTCTTTGCCAACTCTATTGCAACCCCTTTTGCTCTTTTAATCAGGGAGTCGGCATAATACCATATTGGATAATATTTAGATTTTAACTTCACATTTGACTCTATCTCAAAAATGTGTCTCCTGCAAAAATACCACTGAAGATGCTCTGTGATGTAACTCTTTAAATAAACTAAATCTTTTCCCAGGAAAATTCAACCGTTCACATTATAGTTATAAACTGTATTTCTTCCATCTTTCTTCTTGTTTCTTTCTGCTTCTCCTCCAACTCTCCTCCTCCTCTTTCCTTGCTTTTATACCTCCCTCTATCATGCAGAGTGTTGACCCTAAAACCCCTCCCCCCACCTCCCAACCTAGCCTCATCCCCCCAACCTCCCATCCCTCCCTCCCTCCCCCCCACCTATCCCCCTCCCATTTTTTTCCCCCACCCCTTTTTAGGCTTGTAAAATGCCTACTAATAATTTGTGGGCCTGTTCCCACTTTGATTTAAGACTTTGGGGTTGACCTTCGCCATGAACGGCTCACCTCTCCTCCAACCTCCCCATTTCCCCTCTCTCTATCAAATTGACTCAAATTTCCACTAACCCCCCGAACAGAAACTCTGGAGGGGGTATCATATCGTAAGAAGGGGGACGGAGAGGGAGAGAGAGGGAGAAGAGAAAAAAAAATTAATTCTCCCCCCTCCAGGCCCCCCCTCCCTCCCCCTCCAACCCGCTGCCAGTCCTCTTTTCTTATAGCTTCTATTTCTCCTTTTCTTCTTCCCACCCAAACTATCTCCATTCTTTGCAAGTCCAGCCTATCACAGAAGTCTCTCAATTCCTCCGGAAATCTCAGGTAAGCTGTAACTCCATTTCTCCATCCAATTAGGCACACAGTGGGGTTCCCAATCTATACTGCACGTTCTGCTTTCTCATCTGCTCCAACAAGGGTCTCAGGGATCTCCTTCTCCACAGGGTC